TCAGAACAAATTGGGGATGCTAACTGGGTAGGGAAGAAAAATAAAGCAGGATGAAGTCACCGAGGGTGCAGCCCCCAGAGATAAGAAATCTACCCCAAGACAATGCTTTCACTGCCCTCTAAATTCTAGTCCCCTAGGAGAAGGTACCTGTTGCTCTAACCTGGTTATTCCTCTATCTAATAGGTACTTAAGCTCTTAAATTAACAAAGATAGAGTTGTTTTTTTCCCTCTTGCTTTCCTAACCAGTTAATATTAAAAAAAAAAAGAATAAATCAGAGAGGGAGTTTTCCAAGTTCAATTCCTTCTGCTTTGATAGATGAGATAAAGAAGATTGAAGTTTGCTCTCTGCTCAAAAGCCCATAATAAAAGGAAAAAGAGGACAAACTGGGAAGAAAATGTATTCTAAATTAAAGCATACTCTCTAGGAATCTATCTGCTTGACTACAGTGAAATTTCCTTACAGATGCTTCATCTGTGATTCTGTCCTCACCCCATAAATCAAACTGCTTCATTACATTGCTTTTAAAGGACAGTTACTTTCAAGTAGGGCTCTCAGGACAGAGATGAGGAAATAGGCTTCTGGGTTACGTGACTGTTAGTGCATGGCATTGGGGAAGCAACTCTAAGCTCAACTGGCTAAGCTTTTCTGCCTCAAGGTAAAACCATTAGGCATAGCTCATGCATGACTTTACATGATTGGTAGATAAGGGGACCAATACAAATATAGTTTACCTAGATTGTAGTGATGAATTTAATAAAGAATTCCATGCTATTATTGTGGACAAGATGGAGAAATGTGAGCTATGTAAGGATACAATTAGATGAATTCAGTGCTGGTGTAATACTAGATTCAGAGAGCAATTATTAATTGTTCAATGACAACTTGGAAGGCAGTCTCCAGTGGGGTGCCCCAGGGATCTAGGCTTGGCCCTATACTATGTAACATTTTATCAATGAATTGGATGAAGGCATGCTTTCAGATTTTCAAATGACATAAAACTTGGAGGGACAGTTAACATACTGAATGACAAAGTCAGGATCCAAAAAAAGAAAATAAACTAGAGGCACTGTAGCCAAAGCAATAATCCTAAAATCCAAGTTTTTAAAACTGACCATGTCATTGCCCTGCACAAAAAGCTCCAGTGTTCCCATTGCCTCTAGGATGAATGTGAATGTTTGAAGGAACATCAGAGATGACTGAATCTGTAATCAATATGTGAATTATCCAATACTCATGGATTGTTTGACTTTTAGCAATGTTCACTTAGATTGAATCACAAAATTGGTCTCTTGGTGCTATTCTGAATCCTCCAAGACAAGCATTTGGGTTCATACAGAAATTCAAAAAGAAAGGTTCTCACCTGGATTCTGGGGTTCTGTCCAAATGTTACTTTAAAGAAATATAAAGATGTAAAATTTCTAAAGCCATCAGGGGAAGGTGACATTCAAAATAGATATTTTTGAGATTTAAAACTTCCATCTTGGGGCAGCTAGGTGGCCCAGTGGATAGAGCTCTGACCATGGAGTCAGAAGGACCTGAGTTCAAATCCCATCTCAAACACATAACACTTACTAGCTGTGTGACCCTGGGCAAGTCACTTAACCCCAATTGCCTCACCAAAAAGAAAAAAAAACTTCCATCTCAAATATGTTTTTAAGAAAAAAAACTGAATGCTATCTAATTATAATGATCAAATTGGACCTAAAAGAAATGAGAAGATGCAACTCCCTTCCTGTCTTGTAAAGGTAGAGAATTACAGATGTGGCATACTGCCAGATTCTGTTGATATGTTGGTTACTTTTTCCAATCTGCTTTTTTCTCTTTCTTTTCTATTCTTTATTACAAAAGATTACTTGATCTAAGGGATCAAGCAATCTAGGGAAGGAGAGAATATGTTTGGAAATGAATATGATATAAAAATGAAAAGAAATCCATAAGAAATTTTAAAATTAAATACAATATTATTTAAAACCCAACATTCTCCAAAAAAGAATATTGAGAATCATTGAATACTATTTGGATGAACCAGAAAGTAAATAAAGAGATGAATAGTGGACAAAATAGCATATTACCAATGTTAACTTATATTTTAAAAGTGATACAAAAGCCTACACTGTTGCCTCCTAATTGGTCTCTTCTGCCTTATGTCTGTCCCTTCTCCAATTCTTCCTCCTTTTTGCTGCCAAACTGTTGGGATTAGGGCATGGAATTAGAAAGACCTGAGTTCAAACATATTCTCAGAAACTTACTAGCAGTTTGACCCTGGACAAGTCATTTAATCTGTCTTCTTCAGTTTCCTCAATAGTAAAATGGGGATCATAATAATAGCACCTATAACAACCCAGAGTCGTTGTGAGGATCTCAAATGAGATATTTGTAAAATGCTTAGCACAGTGCCTGGCACATGGTAACTGCTTAATAAATGCTTATTTCCTTCTTCCCTTCTTAAATCTCCCACCTTTGTAACAAGTTTTTCTCAGTTGCCTTCTCTCTTTCCCATCCACCTCCCTTCACTGATAGTGCCTTCCCTGGGAGATTACCTTCCACTTACTCGGAATGTGTCTTGTAGACATAGTTATTTGTTAAGTTGTCTCCTCCCTTCAATTATAAGCTCCTTGAAGGCAAAAACTATCCTCAAAGCTTAACAGAGTGCTGGTCACATGGTAAACACTTAAATGCTATCTGTGGCTACTGTGGCTGTGGTTTTTGGTTTTGCTGTTGTTGTGGTTGCTGTTGTTGCTATTGCTGTTGTGGTTGAAATGTTGAGGCAGGTAAGAAGTACAGTGGATAGAGGACTGAACTGGAGTCAGAAAGATCTGAGTTCAAATCCTGCCTCAGATACTTACTTGATGTATGAAATTGGACAAGTCCCTCAATCAACTTCAGTCTAACTATATTTTATAGATGAGGATACCTCCCAAGGTTGTTGTGAGGGTAAAAGGCAATAATATTTATAAGGTGCCTCACAAACTTTAAAATGCTATATAAATGCTAGCTTTTATTATTGTTATTATTACACCTAGAAAATGGTGAGCCAAACATGCAGTGAAAACAAAGGATCACTTTGGTGGTGCATTGGAAGGAACTCTGACTTTGGAGTCAGAGGTTCTCCATTAAAATGCTCACTATGCCACTCATTACTTGGGAGTTATTGGGAAAGTGACTTAATCTCCCTAGCCTTCAGACTCCTTGTCCATAAAATGAAAGGCTTGTCCTAGGAGACCTTTAAGTCCCTCCCAGCTTTAAATCTATGCTGCTACGATACCCTGCCTCCAGTGTGGCAGTCTTCCATCCAAAATGTCAGAAAGATTGGAGGAAGTCATCCCATATGCTAAGTGGATCTTCTCTGAAGGCTCGGTATGAGGATATGGAGGACAATCACCCAAGGTGAGAGATAGATGGACCATAATCTATACCAGTGGAGGATGACCCCAAATCAATGAGTTCGCAGACTCATACGAGCAACTATGCAGTGTTTTTAGCACCCTTCAGAGATCTAAAGTGGCCTTGTTGGCTTAGGGAATGAAAAAAAGTATTATATCTTTAGTCATAAAATTATCATGTTTAATATGAATAGAGATATAAAATGACAATAAATCAGAAATATTTGAGAAATAATTTTGCCCACTCTATCCCTTCCCTTTTCAAAATTTGGAGTAGGGAGCAGAAATAAATTTTTTGGGAATAAAATGTAATTTTTTTCCTCAGTTTTTTCCCATTGTTCCTGGGCCTTCATGAGTATTAGCTCTGCTACTAACATGTTGTTTGACCTCAGGAAAGTCACTTTCTCTTTGTGGCTTCAGCTCTCTCCTCTTTCAAATGAGGGAGCTGGAATTAATGGTCTCTGAGGCTCCTTCCAATTCTTAACAATCTACCCCTAGCTAACAGGCATACAATTTTCAATGATGATCTTAGACATACACTAATAAAGTCAGTACAATGCTAACACTTACAAAAGATGTTTTCTTGTACTCAAAGAACACTAACACTAATCCAAGATCAGAACAACTTATCCAAACAAAATGTCTTGCACTCACTACATTGTGTTGGATTTTATCTCTATGCATTACATTAAAAGGGAAATAATGAAAACAGAAAAGCAAGGCAGAGATTTGAAGTTCAGTATTGCTTATTCATAAAAACACATTCAGTTTGAATGCAAATACATTCTTCCCTCACTATACACAAATAATCCAAAAACTGTGACAAATCACAGAATCTCAGAGTTGGAAAAGACCTCAGAGGACATCTGGCCAAACATGCCTGACTAATAGATGCATAGTAAATATTTAATCCACAAATATTTTGGACAATAATAAAAACAGCACCCTTAATGGAGGGTTCAGAAACTACCTCTGAATCCATTTTCCTAAATACTTCTCAAACAGCAGGAGAGGGGAGGTATCAAGACCCTAAGAAATAATCACCCTGAGATTCCAAGGAAGTTAAATAGACCAAAATGGTAGAAGTTCCAAAGTTGACTTTCCGAAAGGAATGACTGCTTCTTCTGCCTCCTGAACTTCCATGTTGCAAGGTCTTCCTGTCATAGTTAAGAGTTCTTCAGACTCCAAATCCAGTGCTCTTTCCATTGCATTATCCTACCTCCCTAAATAGGGAGCAATGAACTCTGGGTCACTTCATGATTTGATTTTTATCTAATACCACAATAAGAAATAAGTCAAGAGGGTATCTGATTTCATTTCAGCCTGGAAATCTATCTCTGGACTCCAGGTCCTAACATTCATTGACACTTAGGAAGTCATTAAGGAGACCAAAGACAACACATCCAAGGCCTTCCTACCATGCTTGTGAAAATACAAAAGAAATGTCCCTCAACTCCTGCCAATACAGTCACTCAATCTCTCATCCCTAAAATTTAAGAAATCCAAACTATCATTCTTTACCAAAGAAAATCACATTCCAGTTCAAAGAATTTCAAATAATCCTGAAAACAAGTTTTTCCTAGACACTGAAAAACCAAAGAATAAAATGTGCTTACTCTTTGATGTCTTGAGGAACCTTCTGTGTTTCCCGGTAGGGTAAATGTTTAAAGGGCTCCAGTCCTGATGCAACATAGTAATGGTGGTCAATCAAGTCATTTGAGCCATCCAGAAGAAGTCCATCCATTGTATACAGTCTATAAGTAGAGAAAGAAGAAAAAACCATATCTCATGCTATGATATTCGGTGTAATATAGTTTGAATATTCTAGTATTTAATGCAACTATAATTTATGTCAAGAAATTATATATTCTCAATACAAGCAAACTTGAAATGGAAGCAATTATGATAGTACAGTGGCTACTACTCTATGATAAGGTTTTTTTTCCCTGATGCCACCCCCTCCCAACTTTTAATTATTTTTAAATCACATATAAGAGCCAAAAAGATCTTGAGAACTTGGGGACTTTAAAGCTCACTGTTGGTGTTCAGTAAATGTTAAATAATAATAGCTAAAAATCATGTAAATTTTTTTGTTATTAGTAATACTTGTTTGATAGAGTAATGCAAATTAAAATAACTCTGAGATACCACCACACACCTACCAGGATTGGCTAATATGATGGAAAAGGAAAATGACAAATGTTAGAGGGGATGTGGGGAAATTGAGACACTAATGTATTGTCAGTGGAGTTGTGAACTCATCCAATAAATCTGGAGAGCAATTTGGAACTATGCCCAAAGGGCCATAAAACTGTGTATACCCTTTGGCTCAGTAATAACACTACTAGGTCTATACCCCCAAAGAGTTCAAAGGAAAAGAACCCATATGTACAAAAAAATTTATAGTAGCTCTTTTTGTGGTGGCAAAAAATTGGAAATTGAAGGGATATTTGGGGAATGGCTGAACAAGTTGTGGTATATGATTGTGATAGAATACTATTGCATCATAAGAAATTATGAGGGTGCAATTTCAGAAAAACCTAGGAAGACATATAAAATTGATGCAAAGCAGAATCAGAAGAACATTGTACACAGTAACAGCAATATTGTAATGATGATCAACTGTGAATGACTTGGCTGTTCTCAGCAATACAATGCAAATACAATGATCCATAACAATTCCAAAGGACTTATCATGAAAAATGCTATCCACCTCCAGAGAAAGAAGTGATGGAGTCTGAATGCAGATAGAAGCATGTTTTTTCACTTGACTATTCTTGGTTTTTGGTCTGTGTTTTCTTTTGCAATATGGCTAATATGGAAATGGTCTGCATGATTGCACATATATAATCTATATCAAATTGCTTGCCTTCTCAAGCAGGGGAAGGGGAGGGAGGGAGAGAATCTGGAACTCAAAATTTTTAAAAAGTGTCAAAAATTTTTGTTTACATGTAATTGAGAAAAATAAAATTAAAATTAAAGGTCAAAAAAGTTATTCAATTTTTAAAATGCTTATATGATTTCTATCAACTAATTTCTATCAACACATTGATGTACTTTTCATAAACTCTGATGAAATCACATCATCCTCAATTTCACTCAGGAATTTTTCTCCCAATAAATTATTCATTCATTCACACACTTTGTGTAAAAGAGATTGGACTCATTGCTGGGTGAATTTTAAAAATGAAAATAAGTACCTTTGTCAAGGAATATACACTGTAGCTGTGAAAACAAATCTGAAAATGCAAGTAACTCTAGAACACAAAGTACCATCAACACTATACAAAGTACTGCTAAGAATCAAAGGATGAGGAAATCACATACAGTTGGGGGACAATCAGGGAAGGAGGTAGCATGTGAACTAAACTTTAAAGGATGAATAAGATTTCAATAGGTAACATATGGTAGGAGAAGGAAAAAAAACACTTCAATTTAATTCAATAAGCATCTAATAAGTATAAGTCTGTTTCTGGCACATAATAGCTACATGACTATGTACAATTCACTAAACCTCAGGCAACCCTCTAAGATTATAAATTATAGAGATTTTTTAAAGACAGTACACTATGTTTGGAGACAAAAAGACAAAAGACAAAAAGAAAGACCTTTACCTCAAGGACCTTCTACAGATACATATAAGTAAACACAATACAATTTAATGAAGGATAAAGCACTAACAATTGGGGATGGGGTCAGAAAAGGCTTCTTAGAGCAGGTGATGTCTAATGTAAACTCTGAAGGAAGTTAAGGATTCCAGGAGGTAGAGAACAGAAAGTATTATATTCCAGGAATAGGGATAATACAGCTTGTACTCACACACATCCAAATTGCAGCTCACTCAAAGGGGCTACCTATGATCTGGAGCTGAGAGGAGAGGTGGGGAGAAACCATGCAGACTGGGGAAAGATTTTCTCAGTCTCTGTGGACTGTCATTTGCTTCAAAAACTACAGCTTCCTTCCTCAGCCTTCCATTCTTTTCCCCTCTTTTATTTCCAAGAGATGTTGATGCAAGAAGAAGGAGGAGGCACCTCAAGTAACTTGGTCATCCCCTGCAGTCCAGAACCCCTCTATAAGCCTCTTCCAGATGCTCCCCATGGTGCTGCCTCACCTTCTCCAGTGACATTTCTTTTTTGGTGAAGCCATTTCTGTCAGGGTCATCTGGGCTTGTTTCCATCCTTCTTCCTACCCCCAGGAGAACTTGATTCTACTGCTTCCCAGGCAAAGAAAAATCAAAACATTTTTGTTCCCCTTTGTCTCCTCTGACCACTTTGTTTTTCATGATTCAGCTCATGCTAAGTGGCCCTGAACCTCTGGTTGGTATGCATGAGAAAAGCAAAAAGGTTAAAATTTTACATTTTAAAAAAGATGCATGGTCATTATTCCTTAAACTCTACCACTGATGCTTCATGTCAAAGTGCAGGGTTAGAGTGCAGAATATAGTAGAAAATGTTTTTAAAGCCAATTAGATAAGACTGAAAAGGCTGTTCTATATTTTAGGGGAAGAAGAAGATCTAGATTAACAGAAGCCCTTTGTAAAGTTTTATATTTAAGCATCTTAATTGTTCATTTTTTAATTGTTTAGCTGTTTACAATTTTAAAGAAATTAGAGAAGAAGATACAGCTAAAAATGTTTTTTCCATATTTTTAGGGGAAAGGGAAGGATTTAATGAACAATATCCCTTTGCAAAGTTTTGTTTTAGTAGTTAAGTTGTTAGGGTTAGGTTTTTTTTAGTTATTTAGCTTAGTTTCTTTAAAAATAAAAATATTTTGAATGTTTAAAAATAAGATATCATGGATGTGTATCCTAATGAAAATGTCCTGCACGTGCCTGTGATTTTAGGCTTTGGTGATAGTCTTTACAATGTCCCAAAGGTAGAAGATAGGATTTGGATTCTGGCACTGACACTAGCTAAGTGATTGTGAACAAGTTACTTTGCTTCCCTGTGCTTTAGTTCCCTTATCTGTAAAATGAGGATGTTGACCTAGTTCAGGGAATGGGACATCTTCAGAAGAATCATGATCTAGAGCTAACCAAAAGTGGAATGCTTCAAAAAGCAATGGGTTGCCACCTGAAACCTCCTTAAAATTCTTCAAGACTCCTATAAGGCAGGCAAGTCAGCCTAGCTGAAGGAGCAAGGTTGCCTGAGTAAGAAAAAAGCAGGCAACACAAATGGGTCAAACCACCACAATAATTATTATTATTATTACCAGCATTTGCATAGTGCTTTAAGGTTTGCAATACATCATTGATTCCATCTCCTCTCAGCCCCTGGTGGAGAGAGTTCAGGACCCTGAACCCAAGAATCCCAGAAATAACAGTACCTTCCAGACCACCCTTGTGCAGAAGTACAACCTTATCAACACACCATCTAATCAATAGTCACTGACAGTCAGGTAAGTCCAAAAACCCCAGGAACAGTACTATACCCATAAGCAATGGCCCTGCTTTCAGTCTGGCTCCAGCAACCACCATCCAGGGGAGCAATCCTTGTGAAGAAAGGGCTTGTCATTCCTATTACTGATTCCAATGCCAAGTGCTAACCAACTACAAAGCACCCTATGGAAGAAAGAGGAGGCAATATGTGCCAGGTGGGCAAAATCATTGCAACCACCATATCCTATCAAATCCTGGTAGAGACAGTACAATGCCCTAAACCAAAAGTCCCTGGAATAGCAAGATACCCCAGACCACTGGCTTTGCCCTTTGCCCTTACAGCCATCATCAAGTGGAATAATCCTTGTGGACAAAGAATCTACCATCCCTGCCACCACCAACCAACTACCACTGATAGGTAAAAACACAAGAGTCCTGGGAGCAGCATCACCCCCAAAACCACTAGCTCAACTTTTAGTCTAGCCCTTGCAGTTAGTTTGGGGAAGCAACTATTGTAGACATTATGCCCTGGCAACTTCCTTCCTCTGCCAGTGCTGCAACCCCCATTTCTTGGGTAGCCACATCTAAAGAAGACCCGGTCAGGCCTTGACACAAAAGTCCTTGGCACTGTCAAATGATTCAACATCAGAAAATTATATGGATTTATTAATGGAGATGATATTCAAGAAGACATTGCCATCCATTTTGCCACTTTGTGTGCTCACTGTCTTGCTTGTTATTTGTATATTCCATGCTTAAGGCAGTGATTTGCACATGCTAAACACTTTATCAATTATTTTTCATTCATTCAAGCAGAAATTAGATGGCCACTTGCCAGGTATATTATAGTAGGGATTTCTTTTGTGTATGGATGGATTATATAGCTGCTGGAGTGCCTTCCATCAAATTCTGTGATTCTATAATTCTGTGATACTGGGGTCATAACACGGAAGTCTTTGAAAACCAGGAAAAGTTCATATTTGATTTCATAGGCAATGGAGAGTCATTGAAGATTTTTAAGAGTGAGGGGAGGAAGAATGACATCATCTAAACTGTTCCTTAGGAAGATTAATCTGGAAGTTGTGTGAATGATGGAGAGGGACAAGACTGGAGTCAGGAGGTTATTATAATAATCAGAAAAGAGATGCCACAGTACCATGAAAAAGCATCAAGGGGACTCAGGAAACTGCTTTCTAATCTTAACTCCTTTACTGTTTTTAATTAACTTATCTCTCCATTTCTCTATGCCTAACTAGTTCCTCCTCCCAGATTCCAAGTGGACATTGCTAGCACCACTGTTCTCCCAGGCTCTCAGGCTCTAAACTTTCCAGTTCTCTTCTAAGAGTTCTAGCCTTAGTCAGAAGACCAAGCTTTGGATCTTGGCACCAACACTAGCTAAGGGACTATCAACAAGTTACCTTTCTTCCCTGTGTCTTAGTTTCCTTATCTATAAAATGAGGATGTTGACCTAGATAACTTTTTTTTTAATCTGGACCTGTCATTTCATTTTTTTGTAGGAAATTCCTAGCCAAAAAGTAAAACCCAAATTCAAGTCCAACTCTATGACCATTACGGTACATGTCACTTTTCTTTGTGCCTTAAGAATTATTCATGAAAGGGGGTAGCTAGGTGGCGCAGTGGATAGAGCACTGGCCCTGAAGTCAGGAGGACCTGAGTTCAAATCCGGCCTCAGACCAAACACTTGACACTTACTAGCTGTGTGACCTTGGGCAAGTCACTTAACCCCAATTGCCTTACCAAAAAAAAAAAAAGAATTATTCATGAAAGATACATAGATAGATAGATAGATATAGACATATATAGATAGATATAGACATAGATATATACACATACACACATATATGTTGAATTAATGAAAGAATCTTGACTGTAAATCAATTTTGCCTGCTTCCTTTTTATTCCTAGGAGGACTTTGTATGACAAAAACAAAGATAAATAGCATTAACTGCTTTGGAGGCTGATTCAAGAGAAATAGAGGGCTAATTCAAGAAATTCAAGAAAAAGCATCCTATACCATACTGTATATGTATGTGTATACATACATATATATAATATAGAATATATGTATATATTCTTTACAATAAGAAGGAACTCAGCCAAAAGTCCCAAATAAAAAATATCACTTTATATAGGAAGCTTGTCCTAATCCCCTTTAGTTTTAATGTCCTTACTCTGAGATTATCCCCAATTTATCCTACATATAGCTCATTTGCATGTCATCTCTCCCCACTCCCACCCCTCCATTCCCCACCTCTACCATTAGACTGTGAGCTCCTTGAGAGCAGGGACTGTCTTTTACCTTTCTTTGTAATCCTAGCACTTAGTGCAGTGCCTGGAATATAGTAGGCAATTAATAAATGCTTATTGACTGATTGACCAAAAGGCCAGTCTCCAAAATTACACGATGAAGATATTTTAAGCTATGCAGGAGAGTCTTTCATGGAAACATGAAGACAATTCCTCTGACCTCTGGGTTGCCCTATGGGGTCATTCCATTCCTTACCTTCGCACACCCCCTGAGGTGGGATGAATTTTTTCTCCAATCACGGCCAGGACATTATTCCAATCATATAGAGTGAATCTGGGTATAATTAATTTTGCAGGTGGAATGAATAGATTCCCATTTGTGAAAACACTGTCAAAAGACAAAAATATGCAAATGCATCAAAAGGGTACATTATAGAGAAAGAGGGGAAACCATGGCTCTGAGAGGAAAAAAATTAAATACTTCTTCAACTATAGAACTGTAAAAAGTTACTTTGTCAATTGGTGACATTCTGTTATGGATCCTCAGGGAGCTGTACTGCAGATTTTTCAATGTTGTAATTTTTAAATACTTTTAACTTAATTTTCCAGAAAATGTAAAATGCCTTTACACACAAACACATTTGGAGCTGACATGATAGGTGAGTCAGAAGTAAATTTTGTCCACTTGGAAAATACAGGAAAAATTCAGTCCTTGAAAATGCAGTTCTTTATCTTCTATATGGTACCAAGACATCCTCACAACTCCCTGAGGAAATGTGCCATCCTTTAAAAAAAATAATGGAATTGAAGGCATTTTTTGAAGGCAGTTTCTGCTTGACCTTGGCAGGTTTGTTTGCTTATTCCTTCCTTTTCCTGGATACTTTGGATTGATAGGTTTTACTTTTATCTGAATTCTGGCTAAAGGCACTGGTTCTCTCTACCTGGCACATTGTGTCCTGGTACTCAAAACTACCTGGGAAAGAGATGCCACTTCTGCCTTCTCATAGGATCATAAAGAGATCCTAGATTTAAAGCTGGAAGAGATGTTAGAGGCTGTCTAATCCAACCCATTCATTTTACTAATGAAGAAACTGAGGTACAGGGAAATGAAGTGACCAATTCAAGGGTATCAGTGGCAAGTCCAGGATTCCAACCTAGGTCTTCTGACTCTAGGTCCAGTGTTCTGTCCAAAGTACCATTCTGCCTCTTCCAAAAATGACATGAAAAGAAAGGAGATTTGCATAATTCTGAAATGTCTACTGAGTTCATCAGTTTGGCTTCAATAATGCCTGTTTGATTACACATAAGACCCCGTATGGCTTCTCAGGGCTTTCTAATATCCATTTGTCACTGTTTGCATCTTCTCACCCCTTCTTTGAGTCTAAGCTCACTAACTTGAGATCCTGAAAATGGAGCTTGCAGCTATCACAAATTAATTCTTTTTTCTCCATCCAGCATTAACATACAAGAATACAAGAAGACTCTTTGGTTTTGTCACAACAGGAAGTATCTATTGTGGGAACTCCTTTCAACATAGATCTCACTGACAGATCCCAATCTATCTATGATTTAATAGGTAAGACCTAGAAAGTTGCTCCAGCTATAGAGAGGTTTATAGTGACTTGCCCAGGGTCACACATATCTTCAGCAGGATTTGAACCCAAGTATTCCTGATGCTATAAGCACAACACTCAATCCATTCTAACAGTAGCATAATGATAAAGAATTCAGATTTGAAGTAAATATGACTAAATGCTGATTAAAACTCTCATTTAAACAGCTATTGCCACTAAGCCAAATAGTTTACTCTTTACTTATCCCCACCACCACCCCAGGATCATAGAGGTAGAAGGAATCTTAGAGTCCAAACTCCTCATTTTACAGGCAAAGAAACTGAGGATGAAACACAAGTGGCCTAGCCTTATACTTATATTAAGTAACTTAACTGGAATTTGAACCCATGTCTCTGACCAATATCTGATCATTTCTAAGAGACCACAACACCACATCTATAACCAAGTATTAAAAACTTTGCACCAAAGCAAATTGTAACAAACTACCATTCCTCTAGAAAATAACAGGGCCATTAACCACCTTTAGAACAATGATATGACTTTTTGTTTCTTTCTAGTTACTATCAAACTTTGAAGATTTTAAAACTCTGAAAATGATAACCTACATGTGAAAGGGGAAAAAATCATCTTCACTTTACACTTCAATAAATTATATTTTCAAAAGGTATAGAGGTCCCTGTATTACCCACTATGATCAGAAGAAGGAGCATCATTCTTTATTCCTTTTAAAATATTTTAAAATAATTTTATTGACATCTTTTGTTTTTATTTAACCTAGATTTTCCCCTATATTTCTCCCCCTTAACTTCTCCCCACCCCAAGAACCATCTCATAATAAATAATTTGGTTTTTTTAAGAAAAAAAGGAAGCAGGAAAAAAATCAGTAAATTGGATCAATACATTGAAAAAAAATCTGATGTTGCATGTAATGTCCCATGTCCATAGACCCCAACCCCTGCAAAGCAGCAGAATAGTCTTTTCATGTCTCTTCTTTGAAGTCAAGATTATACTTAACAATTTTCCAGCATGCTGTTTCAACTGTCTTTCCCTTTACATTGTTACAGACATTGTGTACATTGTTTTCCTGGGCTCTGGTTACTTTCTCTTGTGTCCATTCATTTGAGTCTTTCCATGTACCTTTTGTTCATCACATGTCATGTCTTACCTCACAGAAAGCTTCCATCATTTTCATATGCCACAATTTATTTAGCCATTCCTGAATTGATGGGCTTCTACTTTCTTTCCAATTCTTTACTACCATAAAAAGTGCTTCAGTATTTTGGCATAGATGGGTACTTTCTTTTTATCAATGACCTCCTTTAGCTGTAAGTCTTGTAATGGCATCTCTGGGTCAAACGCTATGAACATATTTAATCTCTTTGCATAATTCCAAATTGTTTTTGGCATTTTAACCCTTATTTTTCTACTATATTATATCTCCTTCATAGGAAAGTGACCAGACATACTCCTTTCTACAGAACAATCACAGTTTGTGAATTTTGGCCTAGGAAAGAGAAAGAAATGTGGAATGTCATGAGACCTGTAGCACCAGGGAAACAGATGGACCAAAAGAAATGGTGACAGATGGGGGTGGGTAAGAACATGAGGCTGGAAAGAAGGAAGAATGCTCGAAAATCCTCAGGTATCAGGGCAGGTTTTGAGGGAAGGGATCAGAGTTCCATGAAGAAGGACCAACAATGAGCCTTGAAGAAAGGGGGAAGAGTATTAAAGTATTATGTAGACTGTAAAGCAGCATATAATTTAAAGTATTATTTTTATTTTTAATAGCCTGTGATTTAATCAAGAGGATGAATTTGATAAATGAGCACCTACTATCTACAAGGTAAAAAGCAGGATATGGCACAGTAGATAGCGTATTGGACTTCAATTGGGTTTCAAATCCTTTCTCTGTAAATGTGAGCAAACAACACTGTCTCTAAGCCTCAGGCAACTGTCTGAGATTCTAAGTTATAGAATAGTTTTGATTTTCATTGACAGAGAGAATTCCTCACCCCCAGGAATTGACACAACAAAATCACCACGGGCCTTAACATGCTGATATGTGTGCAATGCACTGGGCAATATGCAAAGATAGAATTTACAAATGTTGTTCTCAAGGAGCTTACAATTTAATTTTGTCTTAAAAAGAGACAGAATAGTCCGGTTTGGCTAGAATATAGAATACATGAAAAGAAGCAGTCAGTCAACAAACATTTATTAAGTGTCCCAGCTACGTGCCAAACACTATGCTAAGTGCTGAGGATACAAAGAAAGTCAAAAACATAGCCCTTTTGTCCTAAGAAAATTCACATTCTATCAATCGAGCAATAATCAATAAACATGTATTAGGTGCCTACTATGTGCCAGGCAATAATGGGCATGAGAATGTACATCATGAATACATGTAGGTACATACAAGAGATGGCCAAAAGAACAAAAATATCTTAGAAGGGAAGGTATTAGCTCCTGAGGGAACCAGAAAAGAAGACTTGCCCTTTTAGGTACAGCTGAGGCATAGTGAACTGAGACCAGGGTCTGAAGATCTGAATTCAAATCCAGCCTCAGATATTTACTAGCTGGGTGACCCTGAGCAAGTCACTTAACCTCTGTTTACCTCCATTTCCTCAACTGAAAATGGGGATAATAATAGTATCTACCTGCCAGGGTTGTTACGAAGCTCAAATGAGGTAATATTAATAAAATGCTTAGCATGGTGCCTGTCACAGAGTAGGCACTATATAAATCTTAGCTATTATTATTATTCCTGCACATAATGGAATTTGAGCTGAGACTTAAAGGAACCATGGGACTGACTGTTTCAGGACTGGGAGACAGACAGTACAAGAGAATGGAGATAAGAAATTGAGTATCGTGTATGAGAAACAGCAATTAGGGTAGTATTTTATAATCATAGAGGTCATGGAGAGGAATAAAGGATAAAAAACCGAGAAGATAGGAAGAAGCCAGATTATAAAGATCTTTAAAGGACAAACAGAGCACTTTCTATCCAAAGGGTAAGGGGGAGGACTAAAAGTGTACTGAGTGGGGGGATAAGGTGACATGGGCAAAGCTACACTTAAAGAAAATACTTTGGTAGCTCAATGAAGAATGGATTGGAGAGAGGAAAGACTTCAGGCAAGGAGGCCAATTAAGATGCTATTGTGATAGGTCAAGCAAGAGATGATGAGGACCTAAGCCAGGGCAGAGGCTATATAAGTGGAAAGAAAGTGGCATATATCATAGATGGCGTGAAGGTAGAAAGGACAAGATTTGGCAATGGATTGGATATAGGGGCCAACTGAGGATGGCGAACAGAAAATGGCACCAAGATGGGGAGCCTGGGCAAACTAGGAGAATGGTGGTACCCTAGACAGAAAGAGGGAAGTTCAGACAAAGAAATGGGTTTTAGGGAAAAGATAATTAATTTTGTTTTGTATATGTTGATTTTGAGATGCCTTTGGATCATCCAGTTCAAGAGTAAAAGGTAAGTGTGAAAACCAGGTGGAGTCAGAATGTGGAAAGCTTTGAATGCCAGGGTTGTGACCACCCATCTTATCTGATTCCCAATGTGAAACCACTAAAGTTTGATTTTTTTTGCATAATTGCATGACAAAAGGAGAGCACTATGTTAGGAAGATTATTTAGGCAGTCATTTGAAAGATGTATTAGAATGGAACTATCCTAGAAGCAAGAAGACCAATTAAGAAGCTATTAGGAATCTAAGCAAGAGGTAATGAGGGTCTGAACTAGGGTGGATACATCAAGAATGGGAAGGGGAGGATGGATTTGAGACATATTGCACAGGCAGAATCAG